AAAATTGTCCAAACATTTCTTTGATTCAGTGTATGTGTTTTTCTTTGATATTGCGTCGTGTCAACGTTCGACATTGATTTTATATATATATGTATGTATACAAATATTCGGGTATACACGTATGCATGAGAAATAAATTATGATAGTTATTCAAGACATAGTTTCTTTGAAAGCAATACCTGTTTTGTAGAAGAAAATTTTACGCTCCGATGTAGCAGGCAAGCAAGCAAGCAAGCAAGCAAGAAAGCAAGTAAGGAAGCAACCAACAACGTCAAAACTGACACAAACTTTTTGTCTCTTCGTTTTAGCGAATTTCTTAGAGAAGCAGCTGAAGAATCTGAGAGTTACGATTTTTCTTTCCTTCTTTTCGGCTCGACGACTCTTTCATATTTTATTTCAAAGACACATACTTATGAGTTTTCTGAACAAGGTATATGCAAAAGTATTTTTCTCCGAAGAAAGAACGTTGCCTCTCTTTTTACATCTTATAACTTCCATCGTCTTATGAGGAGGGACGACGATTTTGTCATAAGAATTTTTTTTATATTACGATACAACGTAACATTCTGCCTGTTTTTATAATCATTTATAAAAAAACAAAAAATATTTCATTTTATATTAATAATAACTCGTGGAAATGTTTCTTCACTGAACTTCAAATAATTTCATTAAGAAAACGTTGAACACATCGAAACGTCGTAAAAGTTCTCCTATTATTGCAGAGATTAATTTTTTCGTAAAAGATAATGTAATTTTTTTTCTTTTTACCAATAATAAAATTTCATTAAGAAATATATATACATATATAACTTATTACTTTCTCGTATTACATGTGTGCTTGAGAATACACCTATTATTCGTGAATAATAAAAACGTAAAAATATATATTTATAAAATAATTGATCTTAGAGTAGAAAATGCAAACGAACAAAAAGAAAAAGGAAAAAGATGAAGGAAAAAGATAAAGGAAAAAAGGAAGAAGGTACACGTCGGACCAAGTTAAAGATTTTCTAAAGAAATCGTCTATACTTGGTAGCTCCTAGCTCTCTTGTAATTCCTTCGTTGGACGGTGATACAGATAGATGGCTTCTAGATTTCGTCGGTGGTCTAGACCACCGACGAAAAAAAGGAAGATAAAAAAAATTAAAGGTTGAAAAAACGTTGGAGAAGAGACGCGGAGAAACGATGAAGAAGAAGGCTCCGTGACTTGGTTAAGCACGGATAGAAGAGAAAACAGAAAAAGAAAAAAAAAAGGAAAAAGAAAAAGAAAAGTTTGCGGCGATTGGAGAGAGGACGAAGAGGATTTCCTCCTTTTCTAACGCGAATAACTTCGATCTATCCTATGGATCACCTTCGACTGGCTTTGCTGTCTCGATCCTTTTGGTAAGCGTTCCTTCTCTCCCTCTTCCTATCCTTCTCTCACTCATCCTATCCACTCACTCCCTCTCTTCCTTTCCATTAAAGGAAGGAGAGAGATGGAGTGTCCTGGAAAGCCGCATACCGATCAATGTCACACCACCGTTTGCTTGTGTTCACGGTCTTACATTTCCTGTCTACCTATCGTCGTCCTGCTGAAGTATCAAACACCTGTGCTTTCAGGAAACAGATCGGATCTACGAGAGCTTCTGCTCTTCTCCGTTCTTCCATATCGAATACGTGGTTTACTCGATAGCTTACTCGATTGATGGATATTTTGCTAATCGATAAATTCATTCTATATTTTTATTTATTATAAATATATTTTCTATATATACGATTTTCTCGACGAGTATCACTTTTTTTTCAGGTTTTATATATTTATTTCTTATTTATATTTACTTGGATTATTTTTAAATGTTTTTTTTTACTAGTTGAGAAAAGAAGAATGTCTGCCTAATGTTTGAAACAATGAATTTTCGTTTTTCTCTTCTATGCCATCTAATTAATTTTCTTCGTCGCAAGGGTTGATTTCCCGACGCTTTTGGGGAAGTAAAAAAAGAAAAAAATAAAGAAAAGAAAAAGAAAACAGGGGAGTAATCCCATACGGCTATTCTAAACGAATTTTCTTTCCTCGTTTTTCCTTCTTTTGCTTCCAAAGCTCGGCTCATATTCTCTGGCATCCATTAAAGTCAGTTGTGGAGTTTGCAAAAGATTAATGAGTTAGTAATGGAGTTTGTAGCTTTGTTGTTGAATGGTTACAAATATTGATCTCACTTTTCTTTTTACTAAAAGAGCTTGATTAAGAAAAAGGAGCTAGGAACTTTAAGAATAAAAGTATGCGCGAGAATAAGTTAAATTTCTTGTTTTTGTTTCTAAAAAAATTACGACGAGTTTGAAGTTTTGCTTAAGCGTGTAACTTTTGACAGCATATACTTATGAAAATAAATATACAAATATCATAATGAAATATTTTGATTGATATCAAATACGTTTCTCTCTTTCTCTATCTCTCTCTCTTTCTCTCCTTTTTATACACATAAAAATTTTTGTTATTTTTATTCTGATCATAATTTATTATGGAATTTTTTATTGTTGATACCTATCTCTCTTTCATATTAATATGAGTAATAACGCGAATTCCACGATATTGCGGTGAGAAATGAGTAATTGCTCTTGAATCGGTATGCAGATGAGTTCGAAACTAGATTCTGTTTTTCATCGATGAAGTCGATATTACGAAATAGTAGAAGCATCTGAGTAAATCGAGGTATATACTGAGAGTGGTAGGGGTAACGAACTTGGGCAAGATGTTAGTGAATTTGCCAGTTCCATAGCCCCAAGGTTGTAAGAGTTAGAAAGAGAGAGAGAGAGAGAGAGAGGAGAGAAGAAAGAGATAGAGAGAGATAGCAGAAGTGGTAGTAGGAGTAGAAGAAGATAGAGAACTGCTATACGGTGATTAAATTTCCGCGTTGCTCCCTTTGCGAAGGGTTGTTTCATAGGAAATTTAAACAAGATCTTAACAAACGGTTTCTCCCATCGTCCTTGAGGACGCCGTGCACACGATTCTCGTATCTTACATCTTGTCTCCTTTTCTTTATCGTCGACTTGCCCTGACTTCTTAACTTTCTTATTTTATGAGACTGATCCAACAGCCTGGAAAAGTCCTCCTTGAGGAAGAATAAGGTAAAATAAGAAGAGGAAATACCTTTTAGTAATGTACGAAGTAATAAATGTTTATACGATTTGTTATAATAAATTCGTACTTTACAAATCTTTCGAAAAAAGAATGGGAATGAATAATACATTAAATTCAATTGTAAATGAAAAATGTCGAGAATCGTTAAAAATTCTTTGATTTCGTATTGTTATTGTTTTATAATAAAACATGCATATGTATTATAAATGAATTATTTAATATTGTAAGAGATAAAAGTATGTTGAAATGATTATTATTTAATACTTTGGAAAAAGAGAAAAGAAAAAATAATTGTCAATGAAATATCGAAAAATAATAACGCATTTTATTTCCCGAAGGAAAGGATATGATTTCATCTTGTACCCTTGAGATTCCATCGTCAGCTGTCTGTCGATCTTTTCCTTTGACATCTCTGATTCCGTATCTTTCTTCGTCTTCGTGTTCGTTTTATCTCTCATCTCGATCCAATAATATTTTAGCAGTGTTGGTCGGTAAAACTTTCGTTGGTGAAAATATCGTCGGCATCTAAGTCCGTGATAAACTCATTCCCATGATAGCGATGCCATTGCTCACCGGTAGTTAATTATTGTGGATTAAAACGCTACAAAACTTTGTCGTCAGAGAGGGAGTCTGTTTTCGTAGAAAAAGTTTACTGCCCATATCCTTCCAAAGTTGAAAGTTTATTTTTATCTCGTTATTTATCGTTTTTTTTACACGACCAAATTAAAGTTACTGGTTTGTAGGATAAGGCGTTAATATTCTCTATCGCGTTACTCATTTGCAACTCTTCGTTATAAGGTAAGTTATTTTCTAAACTCGATAATTGTGTGAGATAACCAAAAAAAAAAAAAAAAAGAACGAACAAAGTAAAGATGAATGTAACGCGTGTATCACTATTTAAATGTATTATTATACATATACCTATGTCAGACAAATAAATCAATATCTCTGACATAGGAAATATAATGAATTTATAAAATTAATGTAAATTAATGATATAAATACTGAACATAATTATTACTTACCTGTTTAATATTTTTTCAATTAGGAATGGTGATGTATAATTAAACATTCGAGTACAATGTGGAATGAAAATAGATCGATAAGTTGTGTCTCTTACGTTACGATTCGTTTTATAAATCATGTTTTAAGTTAATTTACAAAGTAACGTTGTAATACATAATTGGTAATTGATCGATATTTTGTCCATTAAATTAGCTGAAAAATATACTATCGTAAATCTATGCGAAGAGAGTGAAAGCGATCATTAATCTACCATTTCTCCTTTCAATTATATACTTAACGTTCTAAGAAAACACGCAATATATTAAAAAAAAAAAAAAAAAAGAAATAAAAATGAAGAAAGAACGTCGATAATAATAAATTATTGAACAGGCGAGAAGAAATTCAAAATAATAATGAGCTACAGAGGCGTGCATCTTTGTACATCCGTTTATTATCATCATCATAGTCGTACTTTGACACTGGTTATTTAAGAAAGATAATGTCTAGCCTCTTCGTTATTTCTTATCTGCTCTTTCTCCGCTCTTATTTCTTGTTTTTTTTTTTTTTTTTTTTTAGTTAGTTTGTGTTTATTTTTTTTTTTGTCAAGGTATCTTGGCGGTTCGCCAAGCCTCTA